CCATGACGGCCCAAGGTAACAAGTCACAACCACAAAGACCGTGCACTTGGACTAAGCCAACTTGCACTCGACATTTGCTTTGATAATTGAGAAGTATGTATATCGAGCTCTATTGGGGTTTTTTTCCTTTTTCCGAAAAAAATCCCATAAATAGCCAAATTTCCATGATAGTGATAGCATGTGTGTCCTCAACCATCCCAAATAACTCAACGCAGCTCGACTTTACACTGTGATTTCTCCCCCACAATTTAACCGACGCCACTCAAACTGCTATTGACCGACGCGAAGCTCTTTCTATGCAATATAAAATGAACTGGGCCCAGAGGGCCATATATCAGAGACAAAACTGAATGCGGGACTAAAAATGTGGTGTGAGCCTAATTTTTTAGATTTTGGACCCTGACGCCGTCTCAAAATATAGACAAAATTGTCTATGGCCGGAACTAGATACTGACGACACGCCAGTCAGTGTAATTTGTCAAATATTTTAAGAATTCTCTATTTTAATGATTTCCGCTCAGAAGATCTTTTATTTAAAGGGTAAGCAGGGTCACTATGGTTTAAAAATTCAGACGAAGACCACTTGCTCAAACCTACACTAAAGGCGGACGTCACACCGAGTGTGTTGTCCGCCTTTGGTATAGGTCGCAAAATTTCGTTTGAACTGCACTAGTTTCATTTCCTTAGTATTACGTTTTTTCTTTCAAATTCTCATGGTCTCAGATTTGCTTTTATAATGAAAGTCGAGGGTCTCAGTCAAAAGTTAGTTAGACACAGCGTGAAGCTAAAAATTTAAGTGAAGAAAGTCTGTATTCATTGGCGGGGCGCTTGTCCACTCTTTCCTACAAAGACACCAAACACCAGTGAGCCTGATACGTAGAAAAAATTTTACTGCCTCAGTTTTGACCTTAGGTATTCCAATGTCTGATGTAGTGACGCACGATCGTTATCGTCTGTAAGTATTGTGATAAAGAAGCTGATACATCGATCCCAAATATCAACACAAACGAGATCATATTATTTATCTGATTTATTATTGCAAAAGAGATCATTATAAAAGGAACAAATCCCTCCAATGGCAAGATCATGCAGTAAAACTAGAACGATAACTGCTAAATTTCCTCGCTACTTGGCCGTTTCACTGTCTTGAGCACCTTCTACTATTGATTAATGAGACTACGTGATGACGACTCCAGGCCAAACGTTCTTCAAACGCCTTTGGCCTTTATTACAACCTGTGGCTACATAGATTAAACAAGCCAATGTAGTTATTGCTGGTAAAGTTTACTGACCTAAAACGGAAGCCTTAAAACTAAGATAAATGGAAAAGGTACACTGATGAAATAATGCAAATGTTTTCCCGAACGAAGCTACATAAAAAAAGTAAATAAAGTTTGAAACAAAGTGCAAATCAGAAGATAATTAATAGTAGGATATAAAAAAACACTTCTTTACCTAGTCCAGCCATGGGACTGCGAAAGGGCCGAAAAAGGCACGCTAAAAGAGCGTAAATCCACATAAAACTCGAGTCAAAAACTTTATGACCACGCTAGTAAAAAAAAAACACACACACACACACACACACACAGACACACACACACACACACCGGTCACGTGACCGAAATGACGCAAAACTTGACCGCGCTTGGACTTTATTCACAAAAATTTCTCAAACCTTTTAATGATTTCGAAATTTGAAGGAGGGTCAAATAACCGTTAATAGATGCGGGTTGTTCGTAGCAGACCAGTAAAATCTGAAGAATCTGGGATGGATGTGGAATTTCAACCATCCTGCTCTTTAAAGTCCTTCCTTTCACAATTGCAGAGACTGCCTCCTGTGGACATGTATCGAATGCAGATCTGATCGCGTGCGCAGATAAGATCACTTTTATGTACGATTTTCATGGAAAAAAGAGATATCACGGAATAATCAGGAAAAAACTCGCTCGAAGCCAAAACAAAACGCAGGTGCGGACGCATCACCTGCAGAATGTGATTTTAGGAACTACATTCGTTTATTTGGCAGAAGAACCCACATGTAGAGCGTAGGGGGAGGCTGGAGAAAGGTGGGATTCAATGAGGAATAATCCTCTGTCTTCTGACTCGACAATGAAATTATTCAAAGGAAATAAAACCAAGAGCTGTAGCCACGATGGAATTATTAAGCATTTCGTTATTTTCAATTATTTATTTTTAACGCTGCGATCATTTATTTTCCCATAAATTCTAAAAGCCAAATCCAAACAAACGAAGATAGTTCCTAATCGGGTTTTGTAATCACAATCCACGGACGAAGTCCCTTTATATTTATATCAGTCTATAATATTCGCTATATGTTCACAAGGAATAGTCTTTGCACTTCTGAAACACAGCTTCTCAGTCATTCCCAGAATCAACGAATTGTACAGGTCTGTTACATTAAGATTTACACTTAATCGACCTTCATTCAAAGCTCAAACATTCCTATGTACATTGCAGTTGCTACTGTAAGATTTACCAGTCAAAAAGCAGACATTCAATTAAAGACTAACTGTAATTACATGTACATTCCTTTAACACGAAGAAAAAGGTGAAAACGCCAAGAACTGGCTGATTCTTGAAAAATGAAACAAGGCTCCCTCACTCAGTTTTTCCAATCTAATGGTCCCATACACTGGCAAGGCAAACTTTTACTAGACTATTCAATTCCTCCCCACACACAATATCTCCTTGCACAACTTTTTCTTGCTCAATATGTTCGTGCTGCAAAAAATCACAAACAAACAATCAAACTACATCAAAGCCAAAGCATTTAACCTTTTCTAACAAAACAACATTTACAGTGCACTCTCACTCCTGAGAGTGCATGAAGGCAAAGCTTTGTAATGCCAAAGAGCAATATATATATATATTGTGATTTGAGCACTCTCGCATGGCAACATGTCTGCACTTGGTCCCACAAGTGTAGCGCCCAGGCAATGGTTTATTCCAGAGCTTGGCCCAGTGTCTGCACTGCACTGATGAGACCCACGTCTCGCATGGTAAGTGTTGCTTCATACTCTTGTAGTTTGAAGTTGGTTCTGGTGTTTTTCGAGGTCTGAGTTGGATAAGTGAGTACCTGCCGGGAGGGAAAACTTGCGACTTTTTCCTCCCTGGCAGTGGTTGTTTTCTTTGGTTCCGTTTTGGTCGCCCATCCCTTTTTTTGGATTTCTCGGTCGATCTGAACTTGCTT